CTTAATCCAAGGAATATACAAGACATCTTTGATCAAGGAATGCCCACCATCCCTCTTCATGATCAAAACATCACCTACTCCTTCGGCCTCCAAAGTCGTATCGTCGACAAATTTCACTTTGTTCTTGGTGGCTTGATTGATCTTGACAAACCAATCTCTTCTACCTGTCATATGTGTTGAACAACCGGAATCCAAGTACCACTCATCACTTGCTTGGGTTCCATCTCGAACCGATACCATTGCGCTTCATTCCGGACACTTTTCGACACACTTTTGCACCAAACTGTCATTGCTGGCCAGCAACTTTCCTCTATTGTAGTTGCTGTCCAGCCCCTTCTTAACACCATAATTCTCCTCCGTGATCATCACAAGAAGCGTATCATCTTCCTCCGCATCTTGCCTAACTATCTTAGCCTCATCCGCATTATTTTCCTTGCGTTTTGAGCGACATTCTCTCGAAAAATGCCCAAACCTTTGACAATTATAACACTTCATGGAACTTTTGTCGAGTGGTTTGTAGGCGCTTTGATTACCCTATTTGGAGCTTCCTTCACCCTTTAGCCCCTTTGAATTTTGTGGATCTTTTCCACCAAAATTCTGGAAATTCTTCTTACTTCTAGAAGACTATTTCCCTTTCGATCTCTTGTTCTTTTCATTTAAACGAGCTTGCAAAGCCACTTCTGCTTTTGCCTTATCATTTCCTCTTTCATCCATCCTTTGTTCACGAGCTTCCAATGAACTTTGTAGTTCATCCTTCGTCATGGTCTTGAGATCCTTCGATTCTTCAATCGCAACAATAATGTTGTCGAATCTTGCCGTTAAAGAACGCAACACCTTCGACACAATGTTTTCCTCCAAAACCGACTCACCGCAAGCCTTCATTTGATTCACCAAATGCGTCACACACGTCATGTAATCGTTGACCGTTTCCTTCTCTTCCGTTTGGAGTAAATCGAATTGACGTTTGTGAGTTTGTAACCTCACAACCTTCGCTTTGTCTTCCCCTGTATAAGCCTTCTCAAGAATTCCCCATGCTTGCTTTGCCGAGTCACAATCGCCAACTTTCTCAAAGTTGTTACTATCGACGCAAGAATGTATCAAGAAGAGGGCTTTGTAGTCTTTCTTCTTCTCTTCTTTGTGAGTAGCTTGCTGGGCTGTAGTAGCCTCTTCAACAAGAGGAGTAACACCGGTGGTAATCACATCAAGCACATCTTGATAACCGAACAAGACTTTCATTTGCTTGCACCATTTGTCGTAGTTCTTCGAATCAAGAATTGGAAGGTTGGTGAGTATTTTATCGTTTGAAATGGACATGATTGCAGCGGAATAGGATCAGAACCAGGCTTGCGATGCCAAATGTTAGAACACAAAATAATGGAGGATGGATAAAAATGGTGGAAAGGGAAAATGGAAAAGATGAAGATTAAATTGAGAGAAACAGAGAGAGAGAGAGAGAGAGAGAGAGAGAGAGAGAGAGAGAGAGAGAGAGAGAGAGAGAGAGAGAGAGAGAGAGAGAGAGAGATAATTGAGGAGAATTGAGAAGTTTTATTCACAATGGTGTATCAAAAAAATGTTACACACTACAATACATTCCCTTATATAGTGCTAAACATGTGACAATTAAAACAAACAAACTAACTTTCAAAACTGAAAATTTCAATTCCTGCACTGTTTGCTGCAGCCTTCAAACAACTTATCCATTTAAGCCGTTTCTTCAAACTAGCTTCTGAGCTTTATTCCCTTGCATTTATCTTACTCAAACATCAACGGTTAATAAAGCAAGAAAGTAAAAGAGGAGAGTGATGAAGGAAAGATACGAAGATGTGATAAATTTTGTTTGCGTCTAACTATGATACTACATTTGTTTTTCTTCTCCAATTATACATACAACACAACCCAATTCTCTTATTCCTTTACAATTCCATTTTGGTGTTTAAGTTAAAAATTTGGGAAAATGACATATTTTTGGATTAATGTTTAGTTTTGATTTAGGGAATAAATTTGATTTAAATTTTTATGTGTAAATATTAAATAATTTATAAGGAAAAAAAAATACATTGACAGTTTAAAATACTTTTATACTGTCAACTAATGACGAATGTGTATCTCACCAAATCATACTTTTATTTTTAAAATACTTACATGACATGGTTGAATGAAAAAATTCTACTAAATGATAATGTAAAATTATTTTACATTTACAATGCACTTTTAACCTCTTAATTTATTATAAATGATTATATTATTATAAAATTAATAAATAGTAACAAGTTGCAATATTTTTCGCATGTGTCATGTTACTAAAAATTAAACTTAAATTGCATTGAAAACTAAAGTCATCAAAAATTAAAGAGATCAAAAATTGGTTTACAAAATACATAAACAAAAATATTAAAATACAAAATAAGAAAATTAAAATTAAATTAAAATTAAAGATTAATTGATATGTTATGTCCGTGTAAAAAGTAGGAATATGAATAGATTAGACAAATTAACAAAGATCTTCGATCTAACCTATATAAGTTCTGGTCAGACAAACTAACAAGTAGTTATGACCTAGTCTACATAAACTCGGATCAGATCAGATTTTTTTTTTTTAAATAAAAAAAATCTAAGATTTTTATAAGACTATTTAATTAAGAAGATTAGGTTACGTGTCATACAAAAAACTTTTTAAAACCATGATACCGATCTATTTAAGTAAATATGAATAATTTTATTATTTTAATTATAATACTATTTTTACTTTAAATTAAAATATAAAAGTAAATATTATTTATCTTAAATAACTTATGAAAATAAGTTGAAATATCTTAAATAATCTATTTTAAATAGATTACTCAAAAATACTTAAATATATACTTATAAAATTTTATTAATTATAATTAACTAACAATATAAAATATGTTACACCATCTCTACATATTAAATTCATTAAATCAAACTGACGCCAAAATGGAAATATGTGCTTATCTTACGTCATTTCTTTTTCTGTTCCACGAGTTCCATGTGTGTATATTCCAAATAATTAAAATAAGTCTCCGTCCTCGTTACTCTTCTTACGTGTGGGGCCAAACAATTAAGCAATGCAAAGTGTAAACTGTAGAAACAGGTGCTAGCCATTATTTAAATATAAAATGTTTCTATACTCATTTTCTATATAGTTCTGTCACATTTAATTAATTCTATATAAATATAAACATATAATTAATTCAATTCGCGCTAAATAATTTTAATAGTTTATATAATTAAATTATTAACAATTTTGATGATGAATTGAATTAATTATCAAACTAAATTAATCACATGTTATTCTATTACACATACATGTTATTGGTGTTTACGAAAAAGTAAAAATTATTCTATTTATGTCTGGGTTATTTTGTAATTAAACATGTGTTATCGGTGTTTAAAAAAAAGTAAAGTTTATTCTTACTTTATGTTATATCTCTCCACTTTTATTATTCTACCATGGAAAAATGATGCAACTTTACTCGAAGTTGTGTTTGCATTATTAGACGAAGGTAAAATAAAATCAACGAAATATAAATTGCACTAGTTAAAAATATTTTAAATTTATTTAATTTTTTTATTCTTTAATATTTTTGTATTAAAATATTATGAGATGTAGTTAAATATTTTTTTTGAATGACGTGGGTGTACCAGAGGTTTGAGGTGTTTGACGATATATTCTGTATTGTAACAATTTTTACATAGTATTATTATTTGATTGTCATTTCACGACGACCGTAATTTTTTCTCCGGTTTTAAAGTTTATACGTTATGTCATTCTTTTGCTATTGTGTTCTGTTATTTTCTTTGTGTCAATTATTCCCAACAATTAGTATCACAACTTTTGGTTCGATCTGAGTATTAGAATTCTTAATATGCATTTGTGGTTGCAGCTTTGTCTAATCATTCACATTAGAAAAGAAGACTGATGTTGTAAAAGAGTTGTTGAATTACAGTCACAAGTTCTAATGTGTAGTTTGTGCTAAAGAAAATTGATGGAAGAATTGTTTTTTACCCGTGGAAACTTTATATAAAATTGTGTTGATACAATCAAAATTACACAAAGTGAACTATGAGATTATATATGTCAGCGGTTGAATAACTTTCTACCAACATGGAAGTTGCACCATAAATTTTCAGCCTATAATTTTTGACATATGAAATTTTTGTAATGATTTAGTTTCAACCGAATATATTCTTCATGATATAGTATATGATTGCCGATGATGACAATGTAAAATTTTCTGAGTAATTTATCTTCAAGTGAAATATACTCTTCATGGTAAGTACGATAGTTTTTAAACTATAATTCTCAACAAAGACAAAACGATTTTTTTAAAAAATAATTTAGTTTCAAATAACTATACTCTTTATGTTGAAATACAATAAGTTTCTTTAAACTATAATTGTCACTGAAACCAATGAAGACTCATTCTAACTTTTACATTTTATTTTAATTTTCTCACTAACTTAAACGTTAGAATATTAACATTATAAACATTATAGATTCACTTACATCCTCTCAAAATTTCATTTCATTGCACCCTCTCAAAATTCATTTCAACAACAATTCTGATTACATTTCAACAACAATTCTGATTTTGGAATAAATACTAGTACCCACTTTTTTTCATAAATATAAAAAAAAACCTTTATTACAAACTATATTCTTTTTTGTATAATTATCCTATTCAATTACCTTAATTTTAAAAATATCTAAAAAGTATTCACTCTTGTCCCTACCTGTCTGCCACCAAATATATAGATCCTAAAAGTGTATAAAAAACTTTATAAAAAATATAATATTGTAATACAGCATGTGTTATGTGTCACAAACAATAAAAACAGAAGATTGTCATCTTCATGGGACCTATGTCTCTTTAAATATCCACCACTTCTTCCTCTCTCAAACCTCATCCAATTCCCTCTACTTAATTTCCACTACACTATTCAATCATCTTCCATTCTTTTCTACTCATACTATCACCATGGAAGTTGGTCTTAGACTCCTTCCCTATATTATCAGCTCAAAGAGTAACTCAAATATTCTTATCAAATCTGCAGTGAAAAAGCCAAACCAAACCATCTCTATGGATTTTTGCTTCCTTAAAACATGCAATTTGTGTAATAAACACCTCAGCCAAGACAAAGATATCTACATGTACAGGTATATAATATATTTGCAACGTATAAAAATATATATAGGTGTGTGTGTGTTATTGATATGTTGGTGATAATTATGCAGAGGAGATCAAGGTTTCTGCAGTATAGAGTGCAGGAACAGGCAAATAGTTTTGGATGAGATGAAAGAGCTAGAGATCTCTACTAAAAGAATGGTAAAATCTTATAGGCAATGTTGTAATGAGGCACGCAGAGAGACAAGCCTTATTCTTGAAGACATTCGAATGCAAAGACTTAAATCTAAAGTATAAACCAATTCCATGTAACCAATAACTAGTTATAAATAGGTAGTTTTTTTGTCAAAGAATAAAAAAGTTATATAGTTGGATTTGTTTTTTCAGTGTCACCATGGATGGGCATAGAGCAAATGCGCCTTGCCTCCATATCTTGTTGTGTTGATTAATTCAATCTTTCATAGATTCTAAACTTAGGTTATGGTCCAATCCAGCCCCCAAAAATTCTTCAATTGGATAGTATATAACTTTGATGACATTAAGAGATAAAAGCTAATTTATGTGCATGTGGTTGTACTTTTATGCTAACCGATTATACTTAGAATATTTTAGTTAAAAACTGAGTCAGTAGCATTTAGCTATCGTTTGACATAATATATCAATCGATTACAATTGAAGTATTTCAGTTTTATTTGTTTGATAAAAATTTCATTGGAATTATAACAGTTAATAAATAACGATAATGATAAAGCAAAGATCGACACAAAGCTCTAAAACAAACAATACTTGAAATGTTAAGGTAAATATTTCATTAAATATACAAAATTGTTATACCCAAGGAAAAAGAAACCTAAAAAATATCGTAGAAAATAAAAGCAATACAAAACAAAAAGAAAAGCATGCCGAAGCATCTGAAGCTGTGGTACGGGGACCATCTCCTAAGTCATTTCGAAAGCGGAACTAAAGGGATTCAACGCCTAAATAGAAATTACAACATCGAGGCAAAAATGCCTTTCTTGTTTCACTATTAGCTCACGGACTCCAAGCGCATCCCACATAGTTTGTTAAAAAAAGTCATGGAGCACACACTTTAGACTGTCCACCTTGTTCTAGGGAGCTTTCAAGACCTCTACATGAGCCTCAGTCGCCTGAAAGGAGGATTTCCAGTACTTTTCCACCTAACGAGTCTTCTCCTTAACAGAATCATAAGCAACCTTGAACCACTTCTTCACATCCTGAAGAGAACCTTCCGGCTTCATCACGCGAGCATACAAGTCAGAAAAAGAGCCATGTATTTTCACTACCTCTTGCAAAGAGTTTGCAACTTTAACTTCCTCCCCCAGCGTAACAAGCCCCTTCTAGAGATTGTAAACCTCAACTCTATAACTTTGACTTTCTCTTTCTAAGAAGTCTGTCTCATCTTATCTCTGTTAGGGAGATTCTGGACGAAGGATAAATCAGACGTCGAAACAATAACAACATCCCTATCCTTAGAAGTGTGAGCTAGAAAGAGAAGATGTCTGATATCTTTATAAAGGGAGTCATCTCCTCATAATCATCATCCTCAGCGACCCGACTCCATTTTAGAGAACACTCAGTATGATGGGATTTTTTCCTCCTCCTGTGCCCTCTTTGTCAAAATTGGAGGTAGGGTTGATTCCTCAACTGCCATAATATTCGCAACATCCACAAGTTGGTATGCCTCGCGGGCATAAGCAAAAATTTCTACAACCTGTGTAAAAGAAGGATCAATGGTCTTTATAGGAGTATGAGCAGAAGTAGAAGTCCTAGTATTCACCACAGTCTGAATGTCTTGAGCATCTTGAAGGTTGTAGAACATGTTCAACTTGCCTATTTTATCCATGCTATCTGAAAAAGGCAATCACACATGTTAAAAACAACATGAAGACTCCATCCTTTCCAAGGATCTTCCTTCTCTCCTCAAGGGTAACTACACTCAAGATAAGATGAGTATCAATTCACCTTTTCCTCACATCGCTAGAATGCACCTCACTATGGCTGAACCCATCCTTATGGCCAAACCCTTAAAACCAAGATTTCATGTCCTCCTTCATCGTCACATCGTCCGAAGAAAGGGAATCTTACTTGGTACAATAAGAGTGAGCAAACCGGTTAAAATGGAGCTTGGACCAATACTCTGGGAACGAAATCCTATAGTATTAAGGGGAGTCTGCATGGATATAGTAAAAAATAAAGGGAGCTATGAGGGTGGGGGATTTCACCAATATGAAACGTTCCAGAAAATTGCCCCCAATCTAGAGTAAAGAGATCAAACCAAAGATATTGACCGAATGAAAGTAAATAAGCCCCTAATTACGAAAGTTGTCTAAGTAAGTACGCCTCTGATGAAAAAGGTAAAAAAAGAAGCTAAAAGAAGTCTTTCAGGATTCGTACTCAGCACACAGTTGGAAGACTCTTATGCATGCCCATGACCCCAGATAGTTTTACAAGAACAAATAGATTTATCTTGAAGTAGGATTTGGTCTTATTTTGGTTTTTGTTAGCCTTTAATTTAAACCTAATTGATTTTCCATTTACATTAACCCTTGTACCAGTACTTGCACCACAACTTTCAGAAAACCTTCATTTCTTTCACAAGTTCTTTCTTCTTCGCTATCATCACTAGTGCAAAGTGACAGATATAATTTTAAAATTTACACCTGTTATACGGAAAACGTGCGTAAATAAAAAATACGGTGGCAAACTTGTAAATAAAATATCATTTTAAGTATTACCACATGCCAATAGACAGTGCTTTTTTTTTAAAAAAGGATGTAAATTAAAAATACTATTATAATCAAATCTTTATTTCTCGCGTTAAAGGTAAAACAAGTGTAAATTTAGATAGGTTGAATTTTTTTTATAACTCTTATTACTAATCTAACAAATAATAATATATTTTATTAAGTGTTAATTGGGTAAGTAAGTGAACTAATTGATGTAAATTTATTAAGTTAATATTGTGTAAATAAAAACAAATAAAAAACACAACAAATGACCACATTCTATTTTCATGGATAAAAACATAACCTTTCGCATCTCTCATCATTAGACGACCAGTCTCACAGCTTGATAACGACATGTACGACGAAGAAATAGACTAATTGGTTAGTCTTTTTTTTAATTAGGGTTTAAATATTTAGATAGAATATTAGGGCTCATATCTCTTTAAAAAATAAGCTCGATTTCTTTTTCTGCCATATAGATAGAAAATTTACTCTTATTTTGTTACTGATAGCTATCACTATTTTCAATGTTTCTTTATATAATTTATATCTTTTACTGTCACAATTTGTTAATTCACGTTTTTACTAATTTATGTTGTACTTGAAGTTGCATGATGAAAAAAATCAATTTGATTCTCATTGATATGTTCATAGATGAGATTGCAACCAACTACTTATGACAAAATCAAATTATTTTCCATTTACTCTTTGCATGTTCTTTCGATTGCAAGTTCTGAGATTTTAGATCGTTTACTTAGTAACTTTGTTATAGGGCATATATACATTTAATAGATAATTATAACGATCACATTTTCATATTTTTATTATTTTTTAATAAATTTTTTTAGAAGAAAATATTTATAATAATATATTTTAAACTATTAAATTAAATTATAATAATTATAATTAATAATTTTACAAAACTACATCATATGTAGAAATTGAGCAAGAAAATTTAATTTGTGGGGTATATATATTGTTGAGAGGATTTGCAATTTTTTCGTCCAAAAATTGCATTTGAGAGAGGGTTTGTAATTTTTCTGTCCAAAAATTGCAATTGAGCTAGAGTTTACAATTTTTCCGTTCAAAAATTGTAATTGGTAGGGTTTGCAATTTTCTCCTTAAAAATTGCAATTGTATGTGAGAGTTTATAATTTTGTACTTATAAAATTACAAGTTAAATTATGAATTTATGAGTTTTTGTTAGAATTTTTACTTCTTTTTCTTTTTTGTGGGTATACTTCCACGTAGAAATTTATTTATTTATTGTTATTTTTCCTACAACTGATATCAGAGTTAAGGTTCCGATCAAGAGAGGAAGGAAGAGTAACAATTATTTTGATCAAGGGAGGAAGAAGACAAAAAGATTGAAGAATAATAATTTTACAAATATGTCTAAATATCTCTATTGAAGATATGTGAGACTTTGGATGAAGGAAGGATTTGTTTGGTCAAATGATATATTCATCCATGTCCCACATGAGAGGGTTTTTTATTTTTCTATTCAAAAATAGTTTGTTGAGCGGTTTTGTATTTTTCCATTCAAAGTTTGCAATTTTTTCGTTCAAAAATTGCATTTGAGAGAGGGTTTGCAATTTTTCCGTCAAAAAATTGCAATTGAGCAAGGGTTTACAATTTTTCCGTTTAAAAATTTTAATTGGTAGGGTTTGCAATTTTTCCTTCAAAAAATTGCAATTGAGCGAGGGTTTACAATTTTTCCGTTTAAAAATTTTAATGGGTAGGGTTTGCAATTTTTCCGTTCAAAACTTTTAATTGGTAGAGTTTGCAATTTTTCCGTTCAAAAATTTTAATTGGTAGGGTTTACAATTTTCTCCTTAAAAATTTCAATTGTATGAGAGAGTTTGTAATTTTTTCCTTATAAGTTAAATTATGAATTTATGAGTTTTTGTTGAAATTTTTACTTCTTTTTCTTTTATATGGACATGCTTCCGCGTGCGTAGAAATTTATTTATTTATTGTTATTTTCCGTACAACTGGTATCACAACTAAGGTTCCGATTAATGAAGGAAGGAAGAGTAACAATTATTCTGATCAAGAGAGGAAGAAGACAAAAAGATCGGAGAGTAATGATTTTACAAATATGCCTAAATAGAGATATCTCTATTGAAAATATGTGAGACTTTTGGATGAAGGAAGAATTTGTTGGGTCAAATGGTATATTCATCCAAGTCCCAAGTCCCACATCGGGTAGTAGAAAAAAAATAGAATTTAAGTATTAATATAAATAGAGAAAGTTTGTTTTAGTTTTTCTACCCAACAACAAAATGTAGTCTTTTGAGTATTTTTGGGATTTGGGTAGTTATGTGTTTAGAGAGGGTTTTCTATTTTTCCGTTCAAAAAACATTTGTTGAGAGGGTTTTGTATTTTTCTATTAAAAAATAGATTGATGAGAGAGTTTGCAATTTTTCCGTCCGAAAATTGCATTAGAGAGAGGGTTTACAATTTTTCCGTCCGAAAATTGCATTAGAGAGAGGTTTGCAATTTTTCCGAAAATTGCATTTGAGAGAGGGTTTGCAATTTTTCCGTCAG